GGGGGCGCGGCCCCCGCCCCCCAAACCCCCCGCCACACAGGGCATGCCGAGCTATGAATTCAGGCTTCCCCTACTGCCGAGGGGAGGTGGAGGCATGGTTGAAGGTGATGCTGGGCCATTCGGTGTTACATCTGAGGGGCCCAGTACTCAGTGCGTGGGAAGCCCCTGCGCCAGTACCAACTCTGACGTCAATGCCTGGGTTGAGGTGGGAGCCAGGGCCAGGGCCAGTGCCATCCCCAGGGGCTGCACCACATCCAGCACAAGGTTCGCAGACAACGGTGCCGGGATGGAGCAGTGGTGCCCTCTGTCCTCCAGGGCTAGAGTGCTAGGTGCCAGAGTCAAGGCCGGGTGCCATCTGGTGTTACACTCCTTAACCAGACCCAGTGCCGAGGTTAGGAATGAGGTCAACTCAATCAGGCCCCATGCCATCTCAAAGGTGTTCGGAGTGGAGAGCTCCAGGAGATCCACCGCTGGACTAGGTCTTGGCATGGGCTGGAGTGGTGCCAAGTAGCTAGGTGCCTCCCACACTGAAGCCAATGCACTCTGGGCTGCTGATGCTGGGTCAGACACCGGCGCAGGGCCACCTCCATGAGGATAATCTTGAGGCTAGACTCCCTTTCCTGTTTAGTACATGGTTTGAAGCCTTTGCAGATCTTACAAGCCTCAGACAAGTAGGTTTCACCGAGGCACTTGAGACAGGCTCCGTGGGGGTCCCCACAGAGTATAGGGCACTTCTCACAGGGCTTGAAGCCCTGGGGCCCGGGCATAACCTGATGGACACGCTGAGGATGCCCAAACCACCAGACACAGCCATGCCCAAACTCTGTCCCCAAAATACCTACTATAGACCTTCTGGGGGCGGAATGTTGCTGCCCCTAGTATCTCCTTCCCCATGCTCCTGGCTGGGAAGGCTTGAACTACATGACCTCTTCCCCTCCCCCAAAGCTCCAGGAGCTGCGCTGCACACATTCGCCCCCTCACCTCTCTTCTCCTCCCTAGTGCTCCGAGAAGGCTGGGGAGTGCTCAGTGCACTGCCCCACCTCTCTTCCTATCCCTGGTGCTCTGGGGAGGCCGGGGTTCACTCGGCATGGTACCGCACCTTCTTCCCTTTCCATGGGGGTAGGATCTTACCAGAGGGGGAAAGGCTGTAGGTGGGGCTGTGGGCCTGCCTCCCCCAGCCTCAGCTGCATCAACTGTCCATATTGTAAGGCTGTCCATAACTGTCTTTGTTAGTGTGGCCAATGTGTGGAATTTTTGTATTGCAGTCGCGCCTACACTTGTATACAATCCAATGTGGCACCTATGAACTTCAACTCCTGAGATAAGATAAGGTATGACTTTTGTGTGTTTATATGAGGGCCCAGAGAGCTGAACAATTGAATTGTCTCTGTGGTGTATTGCATGACCTTTTGTTCTGTAGGAGCTACTATCAGGCAGTCATCTAGGTAAGGAAAAATTACTATTCCTGATTTTCTTAGATGGGCCACAGCGAGGATCTTGGAGAAAACTCTGGGTGCTGAGGATAGGCCAAATGGTAGGATTTGGTATTGAAAGTGTTGATCCTTTAGATTGAATCTGAGAAATTTTCTGTGTGAAGGCCAAATTGCTATGTGGAAATAAGCATCCTGTAGGTCAAGGGACAACATCCAGTTTTCTTTTTCTAGAGCTAGAATTATCTTTGTTAGGGTTACCATAGCAAATCATTGCCTTTTTAAGTACTTGTTTAGCCTGTGCAAATCCAAGATGGGTCTCCAACTCCCTGACTTTTTTGGAGTAAGAAAGTATCTGGAGTAAAACCCTTTTCCTCTCTGATGTGCTGGTATGAGCTCTATTGCCTCCATCTTGAGTAGTTTGTTAAATCTCCTGTTGGAGCAGAGACTCATGAGAAGGCTCCCTGAAGAAGGACAGAGAAGGGGACTGGATTGGAAAAAAAGTAAGGAAGGGAATCGTGAGGCCTTTTGCTATGACTTCTGGCCCATCTGCCTGTTGAAATCCTGGAACATGCATGGTAGAAAATCTGAAGGCTGAATCGGTACTGATTGGCTGGTGGAAATTACGATGAATCCTCAATCAGATGTTCAAAATGTCTGCCTGCCGTTGGAGGACTGGTATATGGCAGGTTGCTCCTGAGGCTGTCTACACTTCTGTTGCCTCTGCCAATGTCTGAGGTCATAACTCCTCTGGGAGGAGTATGACGGTGATGCCCTGCTATGGGACGGGTAGAGGCGGTTCACTTTCTTTTTGGGCTAAGGGAAATACATGCCCAAGTTTTTTAATGTAACACGTGAGTCCTTGAGTGAATGCAGTGAAGTGTCTGTGGTGTCAGAAAAAAGCTTTTGTTACTCCAAGGGTAGGTCCTCAACAGTGTTCTGCACCTCCTTAGGGAATCCAGAGAGGTGGAGCCAGGAGACCTGATGCATTATGACTGACATGGCCAAAGATCTTGAGGTGGTGTCAGATGCATCCAGAGATGCCTGCATTGCTGTTTTTGCTATAAGGACTCCTTCATCTATGTTAGACTTGAATGAAGATTTGTAGTCTTCAGGCAGCTGTTCAATAAAGGTTTTCATTTTCTCAAAATGATGGTACATGTATTTTGCTAGTAATGCTGAATAATTCGCTATCCTGATCTGGACGGATGCTGAGAAATATGATTTCCTACCCAAAATGTCCAGTCCCTTCCATTCTGTCTCGTGGGGAATGGATTTATATTGGGTCAGCTTGCTCCTGATATAGGCTGAATCCACCACGAAGGAGTTTAGTGCTGGGTGGGTAAATAAAAATTCAGCTCCTGTGGCAGGAACATAATACTTCCTGTCACACCTTTTTGAGGTTGGGGAAATCGAGGCTTGTGTTTACCACAAAATCTTTGCAGAGTCCAGTAAGGCCTTGTTGACTGGCAACAAGTGTTAAGGAACTAATAGTCATTTGGACTTATTCTACCTTTTATGCCCTCAAGATGATGGGATAGTGCAGGTGAGGCCCAATGGACATTACTAGCCAAAATTCCAATTTCAAGCACATGCATACATATAGAAAAGCACTCAAATAAAGGTAAATTGCAAACAAATGTATAACATTACTGCCAGTCTAATGAAATTACATCTGTAAACTGAATGCCACATGCTGATTTGCAACTGAAAACTATAGCTGAAATTAATGAAAAAATAAACAGTCTTCCAAGTTCTTTTCTGTTAAAGATGGTAAAGTTTATTAACTGAATAGGGCTTCAGATAGTCGATTTTTTTAGCAAGATTTCATTAGCAAGTTAAGAAATGCTACAATTCATATGTAATGTGCATTTTTTCTAATTTGACTCACAAAACGTATTTAATATGGCAATGCAATTACATCTTTCTATTTTAATAAAACCATTTTTAACATAAAAAACAGTCAAAACTGAATCTTCATAGTTTATCAGAGTAAACTACAGTCTGTTCATTTATGCTATGACATTTAAAGAGTGGGCTTCACAAGGAGTACTTTACTACACAGACTAAATTATAAGAATTTGTTAAAACATAAGCACATACATATATCACAAATTAAAACATTTATATTGTATATTACTATTACTTTAAGTTGCTTGCAATTTTACTCAATATAAATGTAAAGTTGTGAGTTATGCAGGTTCTCAAAACATATTCAGATAGTCCTTCCTTTTGTGTAACATAATTTCCACAATCATTTTTAATGTAAAATAATTTAACTACATGCATCCTAAAGAATTTTGAGAGAGCCACTGAAATGATTTGATATCTATTTTCAGTTCTGAAATATTTAGGCTTTTTTGTTGTTCTATTTTATTTTGATCTCAATTTTAAAAGTGTAAGCAATCAGTATAATGATAACAGGAGAGGTTGATAATTGGAGCGAATCTTAAAACTATTTAAAAGTGAGGACGATACCTGATCAGTTATTTATTGACTACATTTCTGACTAAAAATTATGAGAATCAAAGTTACAACCCTAAGCAAATAAGTAACATCTGTTTCAAAAGATGTAACAAAAATCAAGAGTACAATATCATACAACACTGACTGCATAATTTTAGGGTATACTTTATATTTTAATGCTTAAAACAGATGAAAGCTAGAGTTGTTAAACCTAATCTTTGCCGTAAAGTGTGATGTTTATACACCACAGGAAATATATTTTATGGCTGTCAGACAAACATATTAGTTCTTTAAGAAATGTAATCAACATTCAAGAGTTATTGTAAGTAGGTACCATGGGCACCATAAATAACTTGAATTTTCTTTTTTCTTCCCTTCTTTTATTAACAAAACTTTGTGATATACGAGTAATACAAGATGAAAATCAATGTAATAAGAAGGCACATCCAGTCAAAATATTCAAGATGATTTGCACGATGCAATATTTAAAAAAATAATTTCTACTCAGTAACTGATTGGATCAAAATAAAAAAAAATATTCTCATAGATTCTAATATGTGACAAAGTTTCTTGTAAAAGCTGTGCAATCATTAAAATACCAGACATTTTTAATGTAGTGTTTTGTTTCTTAAAATCAGTATAAGGCTCAAAAACAAGTGCATGTGCAGGAATATCAAAACCTCCAATTTTCTAGCTGCATAGAAACACAATGAGCAATGAGGAGATTCTTTCCAAATAAATGTATTATTTCCATACAAGTCTTGTCAGGTACTTGATCGTCTTTCTGGTCTTGGTACACATTTCATAATTGCAGCTCTCCACAGTGCTGGGGCAAGCAAAAGGCTTAGAGTAGTTACACTCAAAATAAGGAGGTAGACCTGAAAATTGGAGATCAGAATGCCATTACTTTTCTACAGTTCATATTAATAGTAATTCAGTAAACTAAGTAATGGCTGGGAGGGTTAATGAATATGCCAATTAGGGACTTTCTGGACCACTTTTCATAGAGACCTCAGCCTAGACTCCAACTCTGTGCCTGCAATTTCACATGCAAATGTATACACACATTAAGTAGTGAAATGCAGGATAATTTTAAAAATTTAACCCACTGGATGCAATAAGAGACAGGACCAAAGGCCACGCCCCCAATATACTAAAAAAATTCTATATTTGGTATTAATTAATACCAAAGTGTGCTAGCCATTTTACTGACAAAAATCAAGCCATAACCCATGCCTTGAGTGTTTACATATATCCTCAGGGCACAACCATATGACTGAAGATTCTGAAGAGTTTTAAATAGTAACTTTAAATTTAAAAATCAGAAAAAAAGTCTTACATTGGATAGTTCATTTTTGGAAATGTAAGCGCTATATATTGACTTTAGTAAAGCTTTTGATATTATCTTGTATGCCCATCTTATAAACAAATTAGAAAAATATAGCTAGAGGAGCTACTATAAAAGTTGGTGCATAACTGGTTGGAAAATTATTATCAGAGGATAGGTGTCAGCGGTTCGCAGTCAAGCTGGAAGGGCATATTGAGTGGGATCCATCAGGGATTGGTCCTGGGTCCAGTTCTGTTTAATGCTTTCATTAATGATTTAGACAATGACACAAAGAGTACACGTATAATGTTTGTAGACAATACCAGGCTGGAAAGGGTGGCAAGAGCTTTGGAGAATATGATTAAAATTTAAAATGATTTGGACAAACTGGAGAAATGGTCTAAAGTAAAATAGGTTGAAATTCAACAATGATAAATGCAAAGTACTACATTTAGGAAGGGAAAAAAATAAATTCTCCTAGACTTCTATGATTCTATGTAAAATTATCTAGAACAAACACTGGAAAGGTGCCATAATTCTTTATCTCAGAGCTCACAAAAACAAGCAACAAGAACTCCATGCACACACAAGTGGGCTCCAAAATTTCACTGTGATCACTGTTGGTACAGGCTAAAATTACTATACAAAAGTACAATTTTATAACTTCATTTTATAGAAGGGAACACAGAACTATTAGTCAGAATGCCTATCTAACACACTATGTTTTTTAGTCTCCCTTATATGTAACTAGTCCCAACAACTATGCAGCCTATTGCTATCAGAGAATAAAGGGAGTTCTTTATCTCAATTAGTAAATTTAGTTATTTTATTTTTTGTGCTGATATTGTGGGCTCAATTTACATATTTTATGTGCTAAATTAAAACAAGTTACCAAAAAGGGAAAAATGCATTTTAAAAATATGGAAGCCCAACATGAAATTATATAAACGATAAATAAATTAGTAAAGTTGTTTATAAAGACATGCATGCATCAAATAATTTTCTGATTTATGTAGACCTATTTCATTAACTTAACATGTACAAAATGATACCAAGAGATTACTAATTTAGATTATATGTTTCAGATACAACATAGTACATAAAACCCAATAAACTACTCAGATACTAAAAATGAACTAGATATCTATAAATAGCTCACCTCTCGAGAAATGATCCCTGCTCTACGTGCTCTACTTCCCAGAACAAAAGAAAACTCACTGACTTGTGCCAGCCCTGCTGAGACAATCCATTTGATATACTGGCTGCTCTTTGGCAGAATCAGAGAAAGGACAAGCACTGCCAAAACAAACTTTAAAGAACAAAGGTTTTTTAGAAGCATGTTAGATAAAACAGCATGTTCTCTGTAATCAATTCAAGAACAGTGATACTAGTTATTACATTACCATATATTGAACAGCACAATGGTCATCTAAACCAACAGTTACTGTGCATTAAAACTCTTAAATCAGACTGTTTGCTAACAATCTTTTATACCAGTGTTTCTCGAAGTGGACCAGGGCTCACTTTAGGAAAGCTGTTAGCAGGCCTTTACCGCTTTGTTTATCTAAAGGGTCCACAGCCATGGAGCCTCACAGCTCCCACTGGCTCTGTTTCGCGTTTCCAGTTAGGGTTGCCAGATGGTCTCCCAAAAAATACCGGACACGTGGTATTTTTTGGTCGAGCAACAACAACAAAAAAGGAACAAGGGATAATAAGCCCCGCACCCCCCAAGTTCTGGGGTGCCCAGAGCGGCGATTGCAACCCTGCCTCCCAGCTGAGACTGGGAGTCCCAGCCACTCCCTTCGCCCCCACCAGGCTTCTGCGCAATCACAGGCTCCTAGCGCCAATCATGGCCCCGCCTTCCAGCTGCTCTCCCCACCCACGCCAGGCTTCCATCCGGTGCGCAGCCGGAAAAATCAGAGAATACCGGACATTGCACATGTCCAGTATTCTCTGATTTTTTTCAACCAAAGAGCGCAAATACCCGACTGTCCGGTAGAATACCGGACACCTGGCAACCCTATTTCCAGTCAAGGGGAATCATAGGAAATAGTGGCCTGGGCCAGGCCACATCCTGTGGCTCCCCTTGGCTGGAAACAGCAAACTAGAGCCAATGGGAGCTGTGAGGCTCCATGGCTGTGGATCCTTTAGGTAAACAAAGTGGCACAGGCCTGCTAGCAGCTTTCCCAAAGCGGGTCCATGGTCCGCTTTGAAAAATACTACTTCATGCAGTCTAAAAGCAGTACAGCATTTGCTATAGTGAAAAGATTTGATAATGCCAGCATACATCCAGCTTAATCTAGAAAAATGGATGCCGACATTTAAATTTAACAGCCCCCTTTAATGTTAAAAAGTCCCATTCATTACTGGGAGTCTCACATCAACATATAATACTAAGAAAAAAAATACAGAATATATAGTAAAAAAACCTGACATTCGCCAGTAATAATACTTCATATATTTCCCTATTTCACAAGGGCATTGTGATAAATACATTAAATATTGTGAAATGCTTTGAGATCTACTGATAAAAAATGCTAGGTATTATTATATAAAAGCATTTACTATATTACATACACAGAGAGTAATCAGAAAAAAATCTTTGCCACACTGACCATTTATATTTAAGCACTTCTGATTAAGTATTATATATATTGTATAGCATGAAGCACTTAAAATAACAATATTATGAGATAAGAAAAAGGGTACCTTCATTATTACCACTGATAATGTAAGAAATAGCAAGACTGTGAGTTCATATATCACAAAAGTAGGAAAAACATGAAGCCCTATAAGAAAAAAAAAATCAAGAATAGGTGAGACATATTGCTTTACCACATCAGTTTTCAATCATAGTGAACACAACACAAGAATATTTATATATACATTTCTAAACATGAATGATGAAATCCTAACTGGTTTTCTTTATAATGGTTTTCTTAAATACATCTGTGGAAGTCACTAGAACAATAATGCCATGTTACAGGGTAATTATGATTTGTTTTTGTCTGTTTTTCTGTGGGAAAAGCTACAATAAAAGGAAAGATTTCTTGTCTTGTAAAATAATTGGAGTTCTTCAAACGTTTGTCTCTATGAGTGTTCCACTTCAGATGCACATGTGCCCATACCTCTTTGATCAAAGATTTTTCCCAAGTGATAACAATGCCTGTTTTGTCCATGCACACTCTAGTTATTTTCATGCCTCATACACATATGGGGCTGTGATGCATGAACCACACTTTGTTCCTTCTCAGTCTCATGTAAAGAAGATTCTGAAGCAGGAAAGGAGGGCATGTGGTGGAGCATCAATTTGAGAAAAAAATCTTCAAGAACTCCAGGTACTGTACAAGGTACTTTTCTTTTTCTGAGTAACAGCCTTACAGGTGCTTCAATTCAAGTGCCTCCTAAGATGTACTCCTCAAAAGGAGGTGGGTGTTTGGAGCAGGTTCTAAGACTGTCTGAAAGGCAACATCTGCCTGAGATGCACACACTGAGGCATAGTACTTTGAGAAAGTGTGGATGAAGTTTATGTGGCAGCTTTTACAATTTTTTCCAATAGGTACTTTTTTCAGAAAGCATAAAGAAGTGGACTGAAATCGGGTAGAATGGGCTGTAGCCCAAGGAGGAGGGCACTGGATGTTAGCAGCTTTGTGGCAGGAAAGAATTCAAATAGAGGTTAATCTGGAATGTCTTTGACTGAACATAGACATCCTTTTAACTGTCTACAAAAGAGACAATCTAGGAAAGGCATGAAAGGTCCTAGTCCTATCTAAAGAAAAAGTTACTCACCTTGCTGCAGTAACAATGGTCCTTTGAGGTGTGTCCCCGTGGGTGCTCCACATCCCGCCCTCCTCCCTGCTCCGGGTCCTCTGTTTATTTCTCGTTGCAGATACCAAGCGGTGAAAGGAACTGGCAGGGTGCTGGACCGTGCAACGTCGGAAAGGGCGTGAACGGCGCATGGCGCTAAACGTGCATGCGTGGCCCAGCCAACTACAACTGTAAAAACCTCTGACCAGCGGTGCCAGGATGAGCCCAACACCATCGTTATTGCACCAAGGTGAGTATCTTCTTCTTCTAGTGATCCCCGTGGGTGCTCCACTCTAGGTGACTGTAAAGCAGTAGCCAATGCATGTGCTCCAGGTCAATGCTTTTCTGCAACTGATGGAACTGCAGATGCTACTGCCACATCCATGGCCCAACGTTGTACTATTGCATAGTGTCGCATGAAAGAAGTACTGGAAGACCAGGTCGCTGCACAACACGTCACTGAGGGGGACTCCGCGGGCAAAAGCTGTGGAGGTCGCTACTGCTCTTGTAGAGAGTTCATTCAGTTGTGAAGGAAGGGGTCTGCTCCGTATCGAGTGACAGGTGGTATTATGGAGACCAATGAGTCCGGCAATACGCTGGCTAGAAAGTGCATTGCCCCTGGAGCGCTGTGCAATGGAAACTAGAAGTCTGTCTGTCTGCTGCCATTGTCGGGTTTTTTCTATATAAAAGGAAAGAGCTCGGCGAACATCAAGCATGTGTAGTAAGACGTCCTTCCGTGAAGAACGAGGTTTCGGAAAGAAGGATGTAAGAACGATGGGCTCATTAATGTGAAAAGAGGAGCAGACCTTGGGAGTAAAAGCAGGGTGAAAATGTAATGTAACCGAGTCTTTGGAAAAGGACATGAAAGGTGGAGTTGCCATTAATGTCACCAGCTCACTAACTCTGCGTGCCGATGTAATTGCTAGCAGAAAAGCTAGCTTCATAGTCAACATTTGTAATGGGATAGTCGCTAGTGGTTTGAATGGAGGGTGCATGATGGTATTGAGCGCCAGATCCAGATTCCAGGAGGGAGGTGGTGGTCTTCGAGGTGGGTATAGGTTCATCAGACCTTTCAAAAATCTTTTCGTGGTTTGATGAGCGAACAGTGGAAAGCACTAATAGCTGCTAAATGTACTTTCAGGGATGAGAGGGAAAGCCCCAAACTCTGCAGGTGAACAACATAATCGAGGATTTCGTGCAAAGGAGAGGTCTGTGGCTCGATGTTGTTACGAAAACACCACTGGGAATATCTACACCATTTTGCAAGGTTAGCATTCTGTGTAGACGACTTTCTGCTGTGTATCAGTATCATTTTGACATGGTCCGAGCAAAGGGTCTTTCCCTCTCTGAGCCAGTTAGCAGCCATGCTGTCAGATGTAGAGAGTCCAATCTGGGGTGTAGGAGAGAGCCTCGCTCCTGTGAGAGAAGGTCCAGATGGGGAGGGAGAGGCCAAGGTGGTACGAGTGACATTTTATATAAGAGCGGATACCATGTTTGCCTCGGCCAGGCTGGGGCTATCATGATGATCGTTGCTGCCTCCATTTTGATTTTCTCCAACACACTGAGGATGAGGACCATCGGAGGGAACGCATAGAGGAGTGTCTTCTTCCAGGTGGTTAGAAGAGCATCACCGAGAGAAGCCCTACCTATACCTGCTCTGAAGCAAAATAGGGGACATTTCGCGTTGTCGGGAGTAGCAAACAGATCCACTACCGGTGTTCCCCATCTGTGGAAAAACTCGTAGGAGTATATCTGTTCTTATTTCCCATTCATGATCTTGAGGAAAACGCCTGCTGAGAGAGTCCGCAATGACATTGATGGTGCCAGGTAAGACAGACGTTATGGTGATGTTGTTCCGTATGCACCAGTTCCAGAACCGCACTGCTTCAGCACATAGGCAGCGTGATCTTGCTCTTCCTTGTCTGTTTATGTGTACATTGTCGCTACATTGTCCATCAACACTCTGATGGAGGTGCCCCTTACGTATAGGAGGAAGTGCCTGCATGCATGGAAGACAGCTCTCAGCTCTAGGAGGTTTATGTGACGGCACCTCTTGGCAAGTGACCATTTGCCTTGTATGCGCTTGTCGTTCATGTGAGTGCCCCATCCGATGAGGGAGGCGTCCATTGTTATCTGAATGGACTGTTGCGGATGATGAAAAGGAACTCCCATCATGAGGTTTTTCGTTTTTGCCCACCAGCGGAGGGACATCCAAATGTGAGACGGCAGAGTTACTATCATGTGAATACTGTGCTTCGTAGGTATGTACACAGTTGCCAACCAGTGATGCAAGTTCTGTAAATGAAGTTGTACGTGAGGAACAACAAAGGTGGTAACGGCCATGTGGCCCAGTTTGGAACCGAGATTGTTGGAGCCGAGATTGTTGGAGCCTTGTGAGATTGTTGGAGATTGTCGAGTACTTGTACCAGGTTTTGGATTGTCTGGAATCTGTCCAGTGGTAGGTACACCCTCACCGCAAGGGAATCAAGGATGGCTCCTATAAACTTTATGCTTTGCTTCGGGATTAGTGTTGACTTTTGCTCGCTCACTATGAGACCGAGGGAGTCGAACGTGTGTTTGACCCATATCACCATATGCAAGGTCTCTTGTTGCATTGCGCTCTTGATTAGACAAACGTCAAGATAGGGAAATATTACGACGCTTAGACGGCAGATGTGTGCTGCAACTACAGCAAGGGTCTTTGAAAATCCCCTGGGTGCTCATGTGAGACCAAATGGTAAAACGCGATATTGGAAGTGTTCGTTGTCTACTACAAATCAAAGAAATCTCCTGTGCGTGGGATGCACAGTGATATGGAAATATGCATCTTGTAGGTTGAGGGCTGCAAACCAATCGTAGTTGTCGAGAGATGGAATTATTGTGGTAAGTGTCACCATCTTGAATCGCTTTCAAAGATAATGATTCAACAGGCATAGATCGAGGATGGGTCTCCAACCTCCCATCTTTTTCTGCGTTATTTCCTAACGCAAATAGAACCCTCTTCCTCTGAACTGGTCCGGGACCCTCTCTATTGCCCTAATGGCAAGAAGACGGTACTACCGACAGAAGACGGTACACTTCTGTCGTAAGAAGTCCTTGTGAGATGGGTCTCTGAAGAGGGACGGAGTAGGTGGGTTGGTGGGACGAAGGGAGGTAAAGGGGATTGTGAGTTCTGATTTTATGACCTCCAATACCCATCTGTCAGATGATATCTCGGCCCACTGTTGATAAAAGGGCCGGAGACGATAATGGAATAGAAGTGTGGTGCCAGAAATGCTTGTGACAGCAATAGGTGTGTGCATTCCCTTGACCGAGAAGTCAAACTTGCTGTTTCGAGGATGGTGGATTGGTTGCGCGAGATATTTGGGGACGCCTGCATTGTGGTCGTTGCTTAGGATGCGTTTGGTCAAATGGACGCTGCTGCAGTCTGCGGGACTGGCAGTCATATCTTCTTTGATATGGAAAATACCGTCTACGCTGGAAGGGGAGTGCATACATTCCAAGTGTGCACAAGGTAGTATGAGAATCCTTGCCTGTGAGAAGGACTTCGTCTGTCTTTTCCATGAATAACTTGAGTTTGTCAAAGGGAAGATCCTGAGAAGCTGAATATGAGCCAACAGTGTGCCTTTGTTGCCAAGAAGGCATTGCCAACAGACTGAGGAAAGTGATTATTCCCCTCTATTCAATCCTGGTAAGGTCACATTTGGAATACTGTGTTCAGTTTTGGGCCCTTCACTACAGAAAGGATGAGGATAAACTGGAGAGTCTAGTAGAGGACAACAAAAATGATTAGGGGGTTGCGGCACATGATTTATGAGGTGAGAGTGACGGAATTTGGTTAATTTAGTCTGCAGAAGAATGAGGGGGGATTAGATAACAGCCTTCAACTACCAGAAGGGGGGTTCCAAAGAGGATGGACCCAAGTTATTCTCAATGATGGAAGATGACAAAACAAGAAGCGATGGTCTCAAGTTGCAGCGTGGGATGTCTAGGTTGAATATTAGGAAAACTATTTCACTAAGAGAGTGGTGAAGTAGTGGAATGAGTCGCCTAGGTAGATGGCAGAATCTCCATCCTTAGATTTATAAGGTGAGACTTGACAAAGCCATGTCTGGAATAATTTAATTGAGGTTGTCCCTGCTTTGAGCAGTGGGTTAGACTAGATGACCTCCTGAGGTCTCTTCCAACACTAATTATCTATGATTCTATCATAATTAGCAATTCTGAACTGCACAGTGACAGATGAGTAGCTCTAGCAACCAAAGTAGTCCAAATGATTTAGATCTTTATAGTGGTGGAAGGGAGGGGTCATTTTGAATGATGTCTGTTGCATTCATTCAGAGCATCCACAGCCAAAGAGTTGAGGACTGGATGTGTGAAGAAAAATACTAACCTCTGGCAGGAATGTTTTGTATCATGTCCTCTTACAGGTTGGTGGCACAGTGACAAGGATTTGCTAAATTGTTTTTGTGGGCTCCACTAAAGACTCATTTATGGGCAAGGCTACTTGAGTAGAAGTGGGATTATCAAGCATATCCAATAGTCTCTGTTGGAAACTCTTGGATTTCTTCCAAGGGAATGTCAGCAACTATTCATTAGGTCCTGAGTTTGTCTAAAATCAGCTAAGGTGGGTGGATAGATGTGTAAGAGAAAAAAATAAATGTTCATCAGAGGAGAACAAAAGTCAGCTCTTTTTTTGTGTTTTTACAACAGCTCTTCATCTGGTGGGGACTGAAATGGAGGAGTGGAAGGAACAGAAGAGCACAGACTCCGATGCTCAATTCAGGAGGTAGGTGCCTTGGAGAACTGCTGACAGTAGGCAGACGAAGGATCCCAATAAGGCCATTGAGAGGGGCAATAAGGGAAGGGGGAGGTGCACCCAAGCTTGAGGATGTGGCAGGTCTTGAGGCTGGGTTTTTAGAAATGTCCCTTGGTTGTTTAAAAGTTTAGCCAAGAACTTTTAGCTATGAATATCCAACCCAGTCACATGCACATACCAAGAAGTTTTATTCTAGCCTGAAAAATTCCTCCTCCCCTTAAAAAGGGATGCTCTTTAAGCATTGCCTATTAAACAATCTGACTGATCAGTATAAATTAATTTTAATAATAAGAACAAATATCCAAGGAAGGGAATAAAACAGAAGAGTCCCAAGCAAGGGTGGGAGGGAAAGGGGGAGGGTGCACGGGCATGGTTGAACTGCTTTAACTGAAAACATTTTAACTCTGTGTGCAACAGAGCTCCTATTCATTTAAGACAGGGGTCTCCAAACTTTTCAGCCCGAGGGCCGCATTAACTATCAAACAGCAGTTCGGGGGCCGACTACACACTTGAGGTCCAAATAAAAAACAATCAAAACATGGATGTTGTTTTAATTATTTATTTAATATTATTTTATTCAGTTATTATTTAATAACACATTGATACACTACACATGAACACCTGTATTAGTGTGAATGGTGAAATTGTTTCCTGGATGCCAAAATAGCAGACATTTCTGGCTTTAGATTTGTTGTCCCTAACATCAACAGTGACCTGAGATTATCATCGGACAAGTTTGTTCTCAAATTGTTCTTCACATATTTCATTCTTGAAAATGTTTGTTCACACAGGTATGTTGTTCCAAAGATTGAAAGGTACCTTGATGCAAAAGTTTTGACATTAGGAAAGTCTTCCTTGGGCAAAAACTGGTAAAAACCCACCAGTCCTATTTTGAACTTGTCCCTAAGGAGGTCATTTGCTTGCAACTCAATGACTTCCAGCTGCAGTTCATCTGGGCAACTGGCCACATCTGCTTCAAATGGGTTTTGAAACAATCTCACTTCTTCTGCCTTTGAATCCAAAAAGGTCTCCACGGGCCGGATGAGAGGCCCTCGCGGGCCGCATCCGGCCCCCGGGCCGCAGTTTGGAGACCCCTGTCTTAGGGTATAGATTATTGTTCAAACATAAAGACTAAAATGAAACAATTGAATTGAAAATGTGGACTGCTGCCCCACACGCTTTTCCTTTGCCTCCCTTCATTTCCAACATGTCTTCTCAAAACCCTCTGAGAGGGTCTTTCTGTGATTTTCAAGTTCCCCTAATCTTTCCTGTCACCTCTTCTTCCTCTGAACTAGTAAACAGGCAGTGAAGAATAACACTGTTAATGTGTTTTCACTAGAAGCAATTGCTGTGTTGACTGATTAATTTTGGTGTGTCCATTCTGGATTCTTACTTGTAGGAAAGACAAGCAACATCCAGTGCTGGTTCTGTCCATGTTGATTGACAGTATGCAAGGACCACTGTTTTCATGGAATCCAGAACTTTCTGTTAGAGATGTTTACTCAGGATTTTCATTATCGCCCCAAGGAACTCCATACCAATGTGATAATGCCACTGGCACTTTGCAACATTGCATAGCTAATTTTAATTCCAGTACATACCCTTTGGCTTCTCATCCACTCCTTATTTGCTCACCAGTCTGATGGCAACTCAAATGGTTACACTACAACAAAATGACCTACCCATACAACTTACTATCTGTTCATATAAACCAGACCTTTCAACTGCTTGAGTCTGGGAATGGACTTCATTTATTTTCAAAGCTGAGTTCCTTTGTGCTATCTCAGGATTGGCTCCAGCTCTGGATATTTTAGAAATGTTTCCAGTTCTAGTCCGGTTGCCCAATGAAACAATTTGTACATCTTTCAGGCACTCATGTATCAGCCCTCCAAGGACTACAATTACATTATATGGCAGTGAACACATATGGAAATAGTTCTATGGTGGGGATGTATCTTCATACTCTACACACTTTCCTGATTATTAGTGGAATTTCTAGAGTCAGGAAACTCGTAATTTTCTGAATGAGTGAGGAAGCTCAGATATGCTGGTCCCATTTAATTCAAGGTAAAGGGTTGCAAGCAGTTCAAAAAGTGGTTTTCTGTCTATTCTTATTTATCCCTTGCCATTCACATGAAAGACAATAATAAGACCTCTGTGACATACTGGCACTTCCCCGCTGGAATAAGTAAGCACAAATTGATAATCCTCAATAAAACAAAGAAAATTCTCCTTTTGCTAGAGCAGAATCTAGTTTTGTTGATTATTTATTGCTTATACTGCTTAATTTACAGTAGTGCCCACTGTGTGCTGGATATTTTACTAAGGCCTGACACCCTCATAATAATTTCTGCTCTGAAGAGCTCAGTATTTGAGGCATTTAATGATTAAAACTACCTACATTTGAGCAAAGGAGGCACCTCAATATCAAATTACTAAGCAGACATCAATGGAATGCACTAGCATGAGAACTAAATTATTGAGTCCTTAAGCAGTTCACAAAACTGCAATGGCGAGGGACTCCTACATAGATCAGTTCAGAATTGTCGAGCCTCCTGGATCACGGTATTCTATTCCAGAATCTTCTCAAGCATGCAAACGGCTACAGCATCTGAGGCACTTGGCCTAAAGTCTGGGAAGTTTTGCTTTTTAGAGCATGAAATCCAGGAAAGCATCACAGACTTCCTGATGAGATCTAGAAATTGTCCAGAAATACAAGAATCTGCAGGGATTCTGAGAACCTGATCTTCATGATGTATTGAATCCCATTTTGTCTCACAATCAGGATTATATTAGAATTCCTTCTAAATGGGCCCTTGATTGGATCTGAGTCCTAGCTTCTTAACAGTGTGAACTTAGTGTTAAGTCCTTAATAGCACATTTCTTCTACTTGTAGCCCTTTTTTGCAGAATGTTCATATTTTTCCAATTCCTTAAATGCTGTTTCTCTGAAAAGTTGCAAATAGGAGAATGATTAGATGCATCAGGTAATCTCTAAATCTTTTTTTGTTTCATGTATTGAGGAGTCCTCTTTGTATTTTCTAATAAAATGTTCTTCCTATTAACAATGACAATGATCAGGAGAGTAAATAAATTTGGGGGCCTTATCCATCTGAAATATTTATGGATGCCTTTTTTCCCGGATGAGATGATTCTCAATGTGCATCATAATTTCATGTACCCCCTAATTATGTCAGATTTAACAAATATTCAAAAATTTGATTTTTTTAAATGCCAGTAAGAGGCCAGAGTTAACATTACAGATTTAAACATCTATAATATATTTCAATACTATATTTAAAAATAAAACATTAGTAAGTTCAGGAGATATGTAATATTTTTACAAAATAAAACCCCCGTAAATCTCCACACATACTCTTCAGCAAAACCTTGGAGTTTAATACTTTTTAACCAACTTTCCTAAAAAGTTACCTATAGATGCAAAGAAAATGATGGCAAGAAAGTCACGTATTGGTTCAATACAGGACATAACCTCTTCAGTAATCATGTGACCCTGAGAAGAGATTAATGCTCCAGCTAAGAAGCATCCCAATTCCATTGAAACATCCAAAAGTTCTGTGATCTGTAAAGAAGAATGGAAAGTTTATTGCTATTCTCTGGCTGTTGTAAATTATTATGACATTTCACTGTTAGAGATTACAGAAATATTGCTTTCAGGTTTAATATATTACTGCTTCTCAATACAATTTCAACAATTAAAGGAATTTATAAGATTTATTTCAATATATTATTGTATTTACTGTGGTTATCTAGATTAGTAAACTAGAGACATTCTTTAGAAACATAATGTAAATTTTCCATACCACACTTCTTGTATCATGCTCCAAGGCTAATATCTAGCTCCACTGACATACACTGATTTCAACAGACATTGGATTTCACCCAACTAAACTAATTAAAACCAGTACACTTCCTGCCAATTGTTAAACAAAGATAAATATTCTGAATGTATAATCTATGATGAGACCATGGCCTTGATTTAACAAAAGATTTAAGAATGTGCTTAAATTCCATTTAAGAACATGTTTAAGTGCTTTGTTGAACAGGGATGAATTTAAGCATGTACACATAAGTGCTTGGCCAAAGTGAAGCCTAATATTAAACTTGAAAGATGTTAGCAATAAAAGAGTAATGTACTTGCTTGTTTATTATCTATGGCATTAAAAAGAAAATGGAACAAATATGTATGTCAAAAGTCCAGCTTGAGCTTACAGAAACAAAGAAATTGCACAATGCAAAACAAAGACAACATTCTTAATATTCACACAGTGAGCAGCACTTTTATCATATAAAAATAGAGATACTAGCGTGTAGTCATTTACATGATTAACCAATAAGCCTGGTCTTATTGGTTAATCCTAATGTCCACATTCACCGCCCCCTCTACACTTGCTGCCTCTGATACAGGGAGGCAGGAGCCAGTGTCCATGGGAAACTGGCTTTTACATTGGCTCCCAGTGTGTTCTGGCTCCCACAGAACCACCTACCCTCAGCACTGCTGCCTCTCAGAGAGGCAGTAACACGAGGGTGGTGGGGAGGACAGATGGGAGCCAGTACGCACAGGGAGCTAGCTTTTAAGATGGCTCTCCACACAAGCTGGCTTCCACAGAGCTGCCTGCCCTCCCCTACCTCCCACAGAGGCAGCAGCATGGGTAGGAAGGGCAAGAAGGAGCCAGTGCTCGGAGGGAACCAGCTTAAAAGCAAGGAAATTGCACTTTGCAAAATGAAGACAACGTTTTGAGTGTTCACATAGTAAGCAGCACTTTTATCATACATCAAATAAGGATGTTAGCATGTAGTTGTTTACACTATTATCCAATAAACCTGGTTTATCAGTTAATCCTAATGTCCACACACACACACACACACACACACAAAAGTGGACTTTTGTTGACAAAACTATACATGCGTCTACTCTACCGCCGAGTTCTGTCAACATAACATCGACAGAACTTGGCAGTTTTGTCAACGGTGGTAAACCTCATTCTACAAGGAATAATGCCTTTTGTCAACAGAGTTCTGTCGACAGAAGGCGTTATTGCATCTACACTGTCCTTTGCGTCTACACTCTCACGTTCACAAAGCAGCTTGCTTTATCGACAGAACTGGATGTAGTCTAGATGCTCTTTACTGACAGAAGCTTTGTCGACAAAACTTCTGTCAACAAAAGCCTGTAGTCTAGATGTACCCCAAGAGAGGAAGGACAGATAATGGAGTGGATGAGAACACCACAGATTAGTTAAGAGAGGTAACTATTTTTTCTTCAAGTTCTTGTTCACGTTAATTCCAATCAAGTGACCCCCCAAGCTACTCCTAAGGAGGTGCAGTCTGAGTTAGCACATTATGGGTTGTCGAACTGCTCTACCTACAGCACCATCTTTTCTTGCCTACTGGTCAATGGCATAGTGCGGTATGAAAGTATGGATTGAAGGCCAAGTTGTAGCCCTATATATGTCCTGAATTGAAACTTGGGCATGGGAGTCCAGTGGCTTAGGTGGGGGAAGGCTTTGCCAGCCTGGCCCTGCCCACACTCCACACCGAGAATGCCTGCTATAGGCATTCTGGGGTCGGAGTGTTGCTGCTCCCAGCACCCACCATGCCTGCTGTTCCGGGGGCCAGGGAGACTTGGGCCACGCGGCCTCTTCTCTCCCTGCTGCTCCAGGATCTGGGGAGGCTTGGCCCAGCTGTTCGGAAGGGCTGGGAGGCTCAGGCCAACTGAGGAGACATGGCTCCTTCCCTCCCTGCTGCTCCAGGGAGGCTGGGGCGCGCGCTCTTCCCCTCCTGTGATGGTGGGGGGGGGGCGTATGTACTCAGTGGGATGCTCTTCCTCCTCCCCTCCCTGTGGTAGGGGTGGGGCCTCAGCACAGGTGGCGGGGCTGTAGATGCAGCTTGGAGCCTGCCTCCCCCAGGCTCAGCTGCATGGACTGCCCATGAACCTGCTAACAGAGTGGGAGAGATGCCTGTCCCTTGGTATGTAGACGGTGGCCATGAATCAGAACACACCAAGGAATGACGCCAACAATTTGGTGCTGAGGAACACTGAGCTTTGTGCTTTGGTGCTAGCCACACTTTGGGCACTGCCCACACTAGTGAGAATGCTGGGAATCTGTCGAATCCGACTGGTGCCTTGTCCTGTGCCAGTCTGGAGTGGAGCAACACCTCATCATAGCAGGCTTCCCTCATGAGGGCAACTGCATGGCCAGTGCTGGAAGCATAGGGACCTCCACCCAAGGGAGAGAGGCTGTTAGTTTAATTAAGTCTCTGGCAGTCTCAAAGTTATTGGGTGTTGTAGGCTTGACCAACTCCACCTCTTCAATATTGGTGGGGAGCCATCACAGCTGCAGGATTTAACAGTGCCTGGGCTGCCAGAGTCAACAGTGTTGCTTCCTTTTGTTTGAGAGTCTCTGGCCAGTGGGGGACCTAGTGGAGTTGTGAGGGGAGTGACCCCTATCCCTTCTATTGTGCCTGGTGGGGGTTAGGGAGGTCTAAGAGAGCTAAGGCTAAGCCTCCCACTACAGTGCCAGGGATTTATGGTGTTACAACTCCTTAGCAGAGTTCTTATCTGCACCATGTCACACACTGAAACCAAAGCACCCCACACCAAAGAACTGGGGCCCGGGTATGGATGTAATAGTGTAGTCAATTAACAAACTGATAAGCAAAAGGCTATAGGTTAATGCTGTAGACTACACACATTTCCCTCCCCCCGTCCCACTTGCCAGTACATTTTTTAGCAGACTGGCCAGCAGCTTTGCTCAGTCATGGCTCACACTGGGTCCGGGATCTACCACTGCTGCAGCTTTGCATTCAAAGTGTATTAGGAGCCAGGCAGGCAGGCAGGTCAGCTCAGTTCCAACTTACGCTAGGTCTAGGAGCTCAGACTGCCCCTCAATAGGAGCTACTACCACATTGTGCTGCTTCCTCTTTATCAGAGGCAGCAATGCAAGGCAACGGGCAGCCAATCAACAAGGGGAGCTGGTTTTTAAAGTATCTCCCCCTTGAGGATCAGCTCCTGCCTGGCTTCCTGCACTGTTGCCTCTGATACAGAGGCAGTAGTGCAGAATGGCAAAGGGCTCTTTGGGAGTGAGGCCAGAGCACATTGGCTGCCAGTCCCGCCCCCAGGGAGCCTAGAATAGTCGACTAACCGATAAGAATTCATGAGGTTAATCAACTATTCAATTTACTAATATTTAACATCCCTAGGCCCAGGTGCTCAAGCTCCACTGGTTTAACTTCAACTTCCATGAGAAACTGCTTCAAGTGAATGTCCCTTTCTTTTTCTGTGTGAAGTTTAAATGATTTGCAAATCTTGCAATGATCTGCCTGATTAGCTTCGCCCAAGCAGCGTCGATAGGAGTCATGGGGATCACTATTAGGCACAGGCTTACAGCACAAACCACAAGCCTTAAAACCCTGGGCTTGTGGCACTACTGAGGCAGGCAGTAGTAAACGAACCACCGCCCTAACTAATAAACTTCACTAAAAAATTAATAATGAAACAATTAACAACTAAAAACACCAACTACTAAAACTAGAAGAACTAGGCTAGCATGTATTTATGAACAAGTGGACAGTATTCCAACACTGTCACAGATAGTAACAAGGAACTGAGGGGCAGTCAGATCTGCAGGGTCATATATAGCAGTGTCTCTCAACTTTTTTTTTTTTTTTATAAAATAAAGTACCCCCTTTAAAAAAATAAAAATAAAAATTGTAAGTACCCCCTGTACCTACAGTTTTCAGACAAATTGTTTTTCTACCAGTGCAACACATTTGTTTAAACAACTTAATCATAGCCAGGCAGCCTATTAAATTTTTGGGTGTAAAAAGTGCAAAAATAAAGTGCTGTAAAACTTAAAACAAAAATTCAGTTTTCTCCAAATTTCATACCCTGCTTCTTGTCTTGTACTATTAGTTCCAAATCATTAACTTGGAGAGCTGAAACAGTGATCTAAAGCATGGTAACACCAGTAAAAATTCAAAAAGCATGAACAGATTCTGCAAATCCATATCAGTGCTACTTCAAACTCACAGTTCATAAAAGATTATGGGTCACAGCAACTCTGTTCTCAGACTGCTCTACTAGATGAGTGGAATATCAAGCATTAAATTAATGGAGGGGACACTGGGACAAGAGAAATATACCTCTAAGGTCTATCAAGAACATATTAAAATTTAATTTGTGTATGTGTCTAAAAAAACTACAATGGCTTCAAGTAGCTTTTAAAGAAAAAAGTCTGCATAAAAAAGTACCCTCACAAAAAGAAACAAATAATTTGTAGTAAAGACTACTGGCTTACAAATTTAATGGCAAAACAAGCGTGACAAACAAAAGTCTAATTTATTTTATTTCAGTATCTCAAACTCCTTCTCAAATTATTTTTCAAATTTGTTTAAAAAAAACAAAACATACCTCAGAAAACCCAAAGAAAACCAAACCAGTTTTCTGCACCAGAAAATAAGATTTTAAACTTTCAGAAAATTGGGGCACATAGCAAGGACTAACAGATCTTTACTTGCACCTCATGCTAATATGATAATTTGCACAAGTAGTTTGAAAATTATTTGTTGCAACTGAATTTGAGTTTATTTAGATTAAATAAAATTAAAATTACTGAATCTCAACTCCTAATCAATTACTTCTTATCACTTTTCAGTAGAACTTGAAATTGATAGATGTTTTGATCTTCCATGCATTTGAGTTTTGGTTTTAAAATACTAATTACAGAACTGTGGAAATATGCAACAAAGGTTAAATGTGCTAACTTTTTTTTTCATATCTCATATTAAATTGCACATCAAAGACATAAAAAAGTTTTTTTAAAGATTACCGTTAACATAAGAAAGATGAAAGCAGATATTCCTAAAATGAGGATTTCTTTATTCCCTTTACTCTCTGCATGCAACTTACGATAATATGGTCCTATGAGATAAGTCTTTATAACAAGACAGATAAGAAAAACAGCAGCCAAAAAAAAGAGAATTTGGCCAATCAGTATCAGTATTCTCAGTATTTCCATGACAATGCTAGGAAAGAAAAAAAGAAAATATGTTATTTTACCTGTTCTGTTGCCTTTAAGCCAGTTTCCTCCAAATGAAAAATCTAATAGCAAAGATAGACATTTTCTAATTTTCAAAATACAGTGCACCCAGTAATCCCTGCTAATGTCTATTTTATAGTCCATAATAGCCTGTATTGGCTGATTTTCAGGGCACAGCATATGGCTCAATAATTTACTGAGGCTTATATTTAAACAGAATGATTATGGGATATAGTGAGATGGAAAGCCTTTAATTTTATGACAACAAATAATTTTTTCCATCGTTTGCTTGTATGTGAAGTATTGGGGTAATATTATACATCTACATAATGCAAAAGTGCACATAGCACTGGATGGCCATGTTTTGAGAAACCCACATTAAAAACTCTAAATACAGTTTTGTCATCATCATACATAGATCTATAAGCTTATGGGTGGGCAAATTCTATAAGGCACAAAACAATGAAGCCATTTTGAGAGACAAAGTTCATAAATAAATACATTTTGAAACCTCTTTACCTGGAATAAGTGCTGGCTCCTGCTTGAATAAGGGTTGGCATAACAGCTATAAATAAACCAAGCTGTACATCCTGCATTACCAACATGCCAAGCAGTACACTACTGTAATCAATATCACCTGTTTGTCAGAAAAAGAAAATGATAAAAATGTAGCTTGATGCAGACTGAATATTTAGCAGCATCTGTAACAATGTCAGAAGTAACCATATATCGAGAGTCTTCGTTGGCCTGAAGATATAGAACACAGTGTTATACTTTATATTTTTATCAACTATAATAATCTAAATATGGAAATAATTATAAGTCATTTATCATGTATTAAAAACAAATTTTCTAAAGCCAGCTGATCAGCTGTTAATATTTCAAGGACGATAAAGCCATTGCAGAGAAGCTAAATGATTTTTTTGCATCAGTATTCACGGCTGAGGATGTTGGGGAGATTCCCAAATTAAAAAACATAGTAAGAGACCTAAAAAAGAGTCATTGTGGCTTAACCACCATGTAAAAGAAGCAGAGAGGGACAAAAAAGCATCTTTCAAGAAGTGGAAGTCCAATCCTAGTGAGATAAATAGAAAGGAACATAAACACTGTCAAATTAAGTGTAAAAATGTAATAAGAAAAGCAAAAAAAGATTTTGAGAACAGCTAGCCAAAAACTCAAAAAGAAATAGCAAAACGTTTTTTAAGTACATTAGAAGCAGGAAGCCTGCTAAAAAACCAGTGGGCTCCCTAGACAATCGATACACAAAAGGAGCAGTCAAGGACAATGAAGTCATTGCGGAGAAACTATTATCTGTGGTTTGTAATCTATCCTTTAAAATGGCTTCCGTACCTAATGACTGGAAGATAGCTAAAGTGACACCAATATTTAAAAAGGGCTCTAGAGGTGATCCTAGCAATTACAGACTGGTAAGTCTAACTTCAGTAATGGGCGAATTAGTCAAAACAATGGTAAAGAATAAAATTGTGAGGCACGTAGAAGAACATAATTTGTTGAACAAAAGTCAACATGGTTTCTGTAAAGGGAAATCATGTCTTACTAATCTATTAGAATTCTTTGAAAGGGTCAACAAACATGCAGACAAGGGGGATCCAGTAGATATAGTATACTTAGATTTTCAGAAAGCCTTGACAAGGTCCCTCACCAAAGGCTCTTGTGTAAATTACATTGTCATGGGATAAGAGGGAAGGTCCTTTCATGGATTAAGAACTGGTTAAAAGACAGGAAACAAAGGGTAGGAATAAATGGTAAATTTTCAGAATGGAGAGGGGTCACTAGTCATGTCCCCCAAGGGTCAGTCCTGGGACCAATCCTGTTCAACTTATTCATAAATGATCTGGAGAAAGGGGTAAGCAGTGAGGTGGTAAAGTTTGCAGATGATATTAAACTGTTTAAGATAGTCAAGAGAGAAGCAGACTGTAAAGAACTTCAAAAAGATCTCACCAAACTGAGTGACTGGGCAACAAAATGACAAATGAAATTTAATGTGGATAAGTGTAAAGTAATGCACATTGGAAAAAATAACCCCAACTATATGTACAGTATGATGGGGGCTAATTTGGCTACGACAAATCAGGAAAGAGATCTTGGAGTTATCATGGATAGTTCTCTGAAAACTTCCACAGTGTGCAGCGGCGGTCAAAAAGGCAAATAGGATGTTAGGAACTATTAAGAAAGGGATAGAAAATAAGACACAGAATATCTTACTGCCCCTGTATAAAACTATGGTATGCCCACATCTTGAATACTGTGTACAGATGTGGTCTCCTCACCTCAAAAAAGGTATTTTGGCCTTGGAAAGGGTTCAGAAAGGGGCAACTAAAATGATTAGGAGTTTGGAACGGGTCCCATATGAGGAGAGGATAAAGCAACTGGGACTTTTCAGTTTAGAAAAGAGGAGACTGAGGGGGGATATGATAGAAGTATATAAAATCATGAGTGATGTGGAGAGGGTGAATAAAGAAAAGTTATTCATTAGTTCCCATAATATAAGGACTAGAGGACACCAAATGAAATTAATGGGTAGCAGGTTTAAAACTAATAAAAGAAAGTTCTTCACACAGCATGTAGTCAACTTGTAGAATTCCTTGCCAGAGGAGGCTGTGAAGGCTAGAACTATAACAGAGTTTAAAGAGAAGCGAGATAAATTCATGGCGGTTAGGTCCAAAAAGGCTATTAGCCAGGGGGTAGGAATGGTGTACCTGGCCTCTGTTTGTCAGAGGCTGGAGATGGATGGCACGAGACAAATCACTTGATCATTGTCTTCGGTCCACCCCCTCTGGGGCACCTGGTACTGGCCACTGTTGGCAGACAGGCTACTGGGCTATATGGACCTTAGGTCTGACCCAGTACAGCCGTTATGTTCATTTCTATTTTGGAAACTAGTCAAGATGATGTAAAATGATAGACACAGAAGCCTGATGAATAGACATAGCATGCATAAAATATTTCTTTTAAGTTTTATGCAGAGGAGTGTGAATGATCTAAATCAGTGTCCATTAAGAAGTGCTGCAGTGTGTTTCTTTTTAGTTACAGTAGAACTTTTTGAGAGGAAAGAAAGGGGATGGGCTAAAAACCCTTTTTTGAAAGATCCCGTACTCATTTTTTCAGGAGTACAGGATCTTTTTAAAAAGGGGGGGGGGAATTCCCCAAAAGAACCACGTCTAGACTGCGGTTTCACTTTCAAAATACCCTTTTTTTGAAACCGCCATCAGATATGAATATGCAAATAAAGTGAGAGATATTTAAATCCGTGCTTCATTTGCACTTTCGATCTGCCTAATTTACATCCCTCTTTCGAAAGAGGGAAGTAGTCTAGACTCTAGATGAGACCTTAGTCTGTATGATCTGTCTGGTTTTTATTATTTCTGTCTGCTGTATAATTAATTTTGCTAGGTGTAAATCAACTAAGGTGGTGGGGTATGATTGGCCAGGTAATTCTGTTACCATATGTAATGATTGGTTAGTAAAATTATACTAAAATAATTGGTTACGGTATAGCTAAGCAGGATTCAAGTTTCACTATATAAACTGGGATCCAAGGAGACCAACATGAAAGGAAAAGAGGGGGAAAGAGGAAAGGATGAAAGAAACAGAAGAAGAAGGAAAGACCCTGCAAGAACTCACCTCCAAGACCCAGCCTATGACCAGAGCTGCCAGAATTCCTCTGCATGACCATGACATGCAGCAACCAGGATCCAAAGAGGCTGACCTTGCCTGGCCTACTGGGAAAGTTTGCCTGCCTTTATCAGGGTTGGAGAGCATGACACTGCATGTGTATTCTGCTTGTTTGGTAATTGTCAATAAATAGAGAATAAGGATATTACTGAGTATGGCTCCTTCAGTGGCAAAAGATCCTGCAGATCCACAGGAGGTTGTACTTTGAGCCATTGGAATTGGGGAAAGGTGTCTCCCCCTAGTGTGTGAATGACAGAGAAACCTGTGCAGGTAACAGGTGGCCCTGACAGAAGGTTTTCAACAGCTCAGTAGGACTCTATTGACCTACTCAGAGCAAGCTTGCTCCTCAGTATTCAGCCACTGAGTTTCCAGACTATCGGATGAACACAACTTAGGTTTAAATGGAGCTGGCAACCACGGGGTCAGGAGATCAGGTCTAGGTACGGTGGAAGTAGTAACAGGGTTTCCACTGAAAGGTCTAAAGGGGGATGATATCTGGCCATACTTGGTCTATGAGGATGACTCACACTCATTTCTACTTAGTGATAGAAATGTAGCCGTGTTAGTCTGGGGTAGTTGAAGCAAAATGCAGGACAATGTAGCACTTTAAAGACGAACAAGATGGTTTATTAGATGATGAGCTTTCGTGGGCCAGACCCACTTCCTCAGATCAAATAGTGGAAGAAAGTAGTCACAACCATATATACCAAAGGATACAATTAAAAAAAATGAACAAATATGAAAAGGACAAATCACATTGCAGAACAGAAGAGGGATGCGGGGGGGTGGGAAGGGGGAGGAAGGAAGGTAAGTGTCTGTGAATTGCTGATATTAAAGGTAGGGAGAGTGGGATGTTTGTGAGTTAATGGTATTACAGGTGATAATTGGGGAAACTGTCTTGGTAATGGGTGAGAAAGTTCAAATTCTTGTTAAGTCCTTGTTGGCAAGTGTCGAATTTTAACATGAATGACAGTTCAGAGGATTCCCTTTCAAGTGCAGATGTAAAAGGTCTTTGTAGCAGAATGCAGGTGGCTAAGTCATTTAGAGAGTCATTAAATTACTCTCTAAATGACTTAGCCACCTGCATTCTGCTACAAAGACCTTTTACATCTGCACTTGAAAGGGAATCCTCTGAACTGTCATTCATGTTAAAATTCGACACTTGCCAACAAGGACTTAACAAGAATTTGAACTTTCTCACCCATTACCAAGACAGTTTCCCCAATTATCACCTGTAATACCATTAACTCACAAACATCCCACTCTCCCTACCTTTAATATCAGCAATTCACAGACACTTACCTTCCTTCCTCCCCCTTCCCACCCCCCCGCATCCCTCTTCTGTTCTGCAATGTGATTTGTCCTTTTCATATTTGTTCATTTTTTTTAATTGTATCCTTTGGTATATATGGTTGTGACTACTTTCTTCCACTATTTGATCTGAGGAAGTGGGTCTGGCCCACGAAGCTCATCATCTAATAAACCATCTTGTTAGTCTTTAAAGTGCTACATTGTCCTGCATTTTGCTTCATTTCTACTTGATCTTCATCAGACCTTTCTGAATTAGCAAGGTAGGAGGGAATGCATAAAACAGGTGATTTATCCATAACTGGGAAGTGTCAGGGAGATCCTGTGTTGTGGCCTCCCAAAGAGCAGAACTGATGACATGTCTTGCTGCGGGTAGCAAATAGATCTATAAGGGGAATCCCCCACAGTTGGAAGATGTCCAGTTGGAAGATGTCTAGCTAGAGGGTAAGAGGAAAAAGATGTGCTGAGGTATCTGCCAGCTGATCCTGCATTCCTAGAAGGTAGGCTGCTTCTTACCTTAGTTTAATTAAATTGCTGAGGGGATTGTACTGTTGACTTTGAGCTTTTCATCAAAACAAGTGGTTCAAAGTCCCTGAGAGTTTAGAGCTGATCTCTATTGATCCTGTTATGGAGGTTGCTGGAAAGGGCCTATGTCTGAACCCTCTGCTCTTCCTCCATTGTTTATCTTGCTTGACTAGTTGGGCGAAGTAGCAGCCAATTTCTTGGGGCCTGTAGTTTTTTCTGGATACAGCTGGGATATCATCATTGGCAATCCCCTAATTCAAGGATGATCTCTATCCCAGATTTGCATTTGGGTCCTGAGATGACTCAGGACCCCAATCCTGGAACCACAGATCCACCCACAGTGAATACAGACATTTCCTGCTAAGTCAGCTGCCTACTGGGAGAAAGTTCTTTAATTTTCTTTCCTTCTCTCTCCTTCTATTCAGATTAAAAGGCAATGTATACAGACCAGAAATTTAAAGATCAACTTATCAGAGGGGTAGCTGTGTTAGTTTGAATCTGCATGCATCTGACGAAGTGGGTCTTTGCCCACGAAAGCTTATGCTCCAGTCAATCTGCTAAGTCTATAAGGTGCCACAGGACTCCTCGTCGCTTTTAAAGGTCAACTTAAGAATCTTTAAGGCTATGCGGTCCATTTCCTCTGAAAAGAGCAATGACCCTTCAAAGGGATGTCTTGGAAGATTTGTTGTATAGGTTGAATCTGGGACTCTGGGCCAGCAACACCCATGGTGTGGAAGGAAGAGCCACAGATGTTGTTGGACAAGAGAGACCCAGAGGTGAGGTGCAGAAGTCAACTAGAAGTCCCGTGAGTGCTGGGGAGCCCCAGGTGAGCTGGCAGAAGCTGGTCCTGTGGTAGGTGGGGAGTCCAGCCTTGGAGAGCCCTAGGCTGGGGAGTCCTGTGGCAACTGAAAGGGATCCTCGGTCCTGACCGGGAACCCCAGCAGCAGTGGAGCCAGCACCATCTGGGAGGAATCCCCAGTTCTGACTGGGAACCCAGGTGGCAGCTGAGCCAGCGGCAGGTGGGGAGAATCCTCAGCTGGAACCCCAGTGGAAGTGGGGCCAGTGACGGCAGGCAGGGAGATCCCTGGGTAGAGAAGGGCCAGCAAGGGGATCCCTGGCAGGAACAGGAATGGTGCTGGCCAGAGGGAAGCCCTGGCCCCGATCCAGAACCCGAGCGGCAGCAGGGCCAGTGAGAAGCCCCACTCTGGCTGGGAACCATGGTGGAGAGGGGCTGGTGGTGGCTGGGGGGAATTCCAGCCAGAGGAGGGAGCCCCAGCATGAGGCCAGCAGGGGAAGGGAAATCCACACGCCAGGGATGCCTATAGCCCAGAGAGGAGCCTTGACCTCCTGTGGTTTGGGACCACTCAGGTTCCGAGGATGTTGGACCAGGTAGGTCCAAACTGTACCTCACGAAAAAACCCTGAGGACTGTCACTACAAGCCCCTGTGCATAGCTACAGAAGTGGCCATTCATCTGGCTGTGGAATCAGCAGCATCGGGAACTGCTTGATAGAAGGCCAGTGCCACTGTCTTCCCTTCTTCAATTAAGGATGAGAACTCTTGTCTAGACTCCTGGGGGGACAACAAGTCCTTACGGATTCCCACATATTAAAATTATAGCTTTCTGGTTCACTATGCAGAACTCTAGGAGACCGTGGAGTGGGCCTTCCAGCCAAAAATGTCCAATATCTTTGGTTTTTTCGCTTTGGGCATGGACTCCATTTGACCTTGTTAATCCCTTTAGTTGGCAGCCTCCACAACCAGAGACACGGGGAGAGAGTGCAAGAAAAGATACACATACCCTTTATCCAGTAAAAAGTATTTATATTCTGTACATTTTACCATAAAAGGGATGGAAGGAAGGGTTTGCCATAGTACCCTGACTGGGTCCATAATGACCTCGATAAGTTGGAGTCACTCTACAGGGGCCCACAAAATATCTAAAAGGCTATTTGTTGTCTCTGAACACCTCTGTCTGTATTCCCAAGTTTGGGATTACCCACTTTAACAAATCGTAGTATGCTTTGTGATCATTTTTGTGGTAGAGACACCTCTGCTGTCAACACCAGCTTGTCTTGGGAGGACAAGAAGAAGGCTATGACAAACTGAGGAATCTGTCAGTTCTTCAGTGTCAGCAAACACTACTTGCGGTACTTCTTCCTGAGGCTTTGTGCCGGGCAGAGGTGAAAGAGAGCTAGTGAGGTGCTTTGGTAAGAACTGGCTGCCAGGCCAGCCTACTCAGAGACAACTTTTGTTCCCCCATCAGCAGCCCTGTCAATAGGGTCTGTCAGTGCTTCACTGTCCCTTTTGCCTGGGGACAAAAGTGGTAGGGAGGTTAAAGCCCCTTAAATTCCAGTTCGCCCAACTGCCCTGGGCCCTGCGTTTTGGGGGCCCCGGGTGGCCCAGTGGACTAGCAGCAGACCTAGCATTGGCAGCAGGAGTTATGCTCAGCCCCACATTCACCAGGGGCAGTGGGACACAGAGCAACCCAGCCCTAGCCTGTTTCACGCCCCCAGCTCTCAGACATGTTGCTCAGGGGAGGGAGCTTGAGGGAAGGAGAGGAACTGCCCTTCACACTTACTAGTGGCAGGAAATGGAGTGACATGGTTGAGAGCCGGGTCACTCCACTTCCCACTGCTGCTTCCAGTGAGTGTTGGTCTGAGTGCTGCTGATACTAGAATAGGCCCCCCACTAATCCCCTGGGGGATTAGTTGTGTCACTTGGGGGAGGGTGTGGAATGGGTGCAGAAAGGAGGCAAAGCAGGGATGGGAAGAGGTGGGTGGGGATGGTGCTTGGGATGGATGCAGGGATTGTCCTGGTTACCTCCCATTGTTGGAAGACAGGATACAAGCTAGATGGACCTTTGGTCTGACCCAGTATGGCTGTTTTTATGTTCTTAGCAGGGTGGGGTTCAGGTGGAGGGTTCTGTATGGGGGTTCTGGTTGCAGAGAGGAGAGATTCATTGGAGAGGTTAGATGCACAGGAGTTAGGTGGATGGGGGAGCAGCTTCCCATACAGTGATCCCTCCCTCCATAGCTGAACAGTGATGAGGGCAGGGTGCTGTGGAACCTCCTGCAGTTTTGGGAGGATTCTGGGAGTGGGTGTGGCCCAGCCCCAGTTGCTCCTTGAAGCGGGAGAGGAAGTCCTATCCTCCCCAGTCTCTAGCCCAGACAGAACTAGCAGCGGAGCCAAGCACAAGGTAGCGCATCTGCTACGCCCCCCACCCCTCAGAGTGATTTATTTTAGTGGCAAAGCAACAGGGTCATGCTGCTGGAAGATCATTGTTTTCTGTAGAGAACCAAAACAAATCTGTGGGGGATATGAATTCTGTGGACACAGAGTGGTGCAGAATTCTCAGAGGAGTAATTGTTTGACCTGATCAACCTTTAATACTGGTAATGATAAATGAGAAGTAAACAATAAATTAAGAATCAGAGAAGCCAGGCTGACTCGTATAGCTGGCAGTTTGAAAACAAAACCAACCCGCCTCCCATCCCCCCCCACACCTTTTTGCTTGTAAAATGAGCAAATAATTCATGGAAATAGTTAACCATGAAATTCACACCTGGCATTTTTAGTCACAGAGTAGAATTACACTACAAGAATTGTTTAAGAATAGAAATGCATTTCTTTTAAAAGGAAAAAACTTAGAAAATGCATTTCTTAGAAAATGCATAAGAAGTGCATAATTTTAGGAAAAGTTCCAGAAACAGAGTCCTGAAATGTCCGTTCCTAATTTTCTTTAATTAGTTAAACTTCCTTTAATTAGTTAAAAAAATATTCACCAAGAATGCTGTCTTATCTATCCTGTAGCATATCCATCTACATGAAGCTAAAAATATTTTGGGGGAAACTACATTATCTTGCCTCAGACTGCAGGAAGACGGTGCAAGCTATTGCGTCAGGCCATACGTCCCTCATGGCAGATACACAGTAGCATTCTTAAATTTGGTACTTTAACATAACCATAAAAAACCATCTGGTGGTTCAAAGGGTTAAAATCAGTGTGAGTGCAGACGGACCTCATAAAAGGGAACATCTCTCTCTCTCTCTCTCAAAAAAAAAATTCATGCAGACGACAAAGTGAGGTTATCACATCACTCTGCAACCCACCTGCCTCCTCCCTACTCCTGTTTCCCCCGTGCTCGGGAGCTGGTGCTGCCATGCCACGGCCTCCCTCCTCTTTGATGCTGGGGGAGGGGGGAGGGAAGAGCTGGGGCAGCCACCCCACA